GCCAATTATCTGTTTACCTCAGAAATATTAATGTCTTTATGCACCATTCAATGCATGCTGCAAGTTGTGACTCTTTGGACATACTGTGCATCATTTAAGTCTCGTGTAAGCCTGTAGGTTAAATGGTAGAATAGTCTTGTTCGGAATCAGGAATGAAATGCATCATTCAGGAAGGCTTCTAAATATCTTGACTTTAATGATTGGAACATTTTAGCCTTTCTTTTTGTTCAAGTCAGCCTCAGAATTAGCTTTCTGCTGCCCCCCCCCCCCCCCCCCCCACACACACACATAATTCCTTCTCCTTTCTGGAGATTCTCAGCTGCTAAAACTCACCACTGCCAAATCTGCTGTGAACTGTAGACAAAAGAGAAAGTTCAATGAAACAGGAACATTTGAGCTTTCTATTTGTGCCATGCTGTGCCTGTAAAACAATGGAGTAGCAGCATACATGTAGAGTATGTAAAAGAAATGAATCTTTAAGAAATTTATGTTTTCACACATTGACAGGGGTACTAAACTCCCATATTTTCCTAGCATATGAAATTTGTGTATAATTCTATCTTCATTCCTGTGGTTCACTTCCTGCTGCAGCCATGACAAATGTCCTTTTATATTTAGGAATTTTAGGGTCATTAATCTTTCATTTCTGTTTTCAAATCTGTATTTCAAATATCCGTCTGCATCCTGCTCATTCCAGTGTGATGTATGAATCTACAGCTAATATACGCGCCCCATGCTTAAACCCGTAGAAGCATCTAGAACTGAGTTCACTGTTCTCTTTGTGTGATATTCTTCCTTGACCACTGCACCCCACAGCAATTCCTTCAGCACCATCAGTTCACCCGAATTTCCTCTGTTTTTGATCCAACTCAACAAACCCATCAATTTTTCCTAACAAAACACTGGAAGTTTATGAATGATTTTTTCTTCCAACAAATGTCTGTATGTACATATGCACATTTACATATATACAGTGTCCATTTGCTTGTGCTATGATCCTTGGGAAGACCAAACCTGAGCTATGTAACCTACTTTAGAGTACAGGTCACAGATAAGTCTGACTGGTATGATTCTTATCGCTCTCTCTTGACTCAGATTTATATGTTAGGATGTGAAGACAAGTGAGATGAGTCCAACCCATACTGCTGAAATGTCCATTTGCAATAATAAGGCTCAAGCATCAAGTGCTGTAAGATGTGCAGGGAAACAAGAGGTTTCCAAAGTACAATCTAAGACTGATTCAGAGAAGACCCAAAACCAAAATACTGATCAGATTTATGGCCGATTTAATTTAAGAAGCAATACAATTATTAAGGTGGTAAGCAATGATAAGGGGAAGAGAGGAGAAGATATAAGCATTAGTAGGACAATCATATGTTAACAGCAACTATGCTCAGTGGGGTAGTAGGATATCAAAGTTACTACTACTACTACTACTTTGATTAAATCAAGGTTACTACTAGGTCTGGTTCATGTATGATCTGCTTAACTATAAGGTCATCTTTCAAATTACCTATCAAGCTAGGTTCCTTTGGCAAGGTGTTTCCTTCAGGCATTGCAGTGAAATGTTTGTTTTGAACAGGAATTTAAAAGGTAGATGCAGCTGGCATGGATTAGAGATCCTTATGGAAAGAAAGAAAATTAATCTTGTCGTGGGAAGGAAAAGTGGACATGATTTGACACACTGGTCTTCTTTCTATCTAGTGGAGACACCACATCCATCACTTTAGAAGAGCCTACTCCACTTGTGAGATTTGACCATATTAGCCATTTCCAGGAATTTCTAGTTTTCAATCTTACTCTCTTCCTCCATCAAACACCTTTTAACATTTCCCTCAAAGTAAATCTTGCCACCAACATGAATACATCTATTAAGAGTAATGTATAGTTCTTGCAAGTATTCCAGCCTAGCCTGGACACTTCAGGAAGTTTCCCAATCCATTAATTGTCAGCCACAGTGTGTTGTACTTTCCATCAAGCCTCACATGTTCCTCACTCACAATATTTAGAAGGAAGAAAGAAAGGGAAAGAGGAAACATGCAGAAATATACGTTGGTCATAAAAAGCAGATAGGCTCCAGAAAAATTACTCAAAGAGCTAGTTTATCTATTGTAACAGTCGGGTTCAATTTTTTCTGTTTGCTGTTTATTTTCTCTGTAGCTTTTCAGTTTTCACAGTTCAAATCATTCAGCAAGTCAAGAGTTCCCCCTTACTATGTTTCCACTTACTGAATTAAAAATAAATATTATACTTCAAATTTCATATATACCTTATATTTAGGAAATCTCTCTTGTCTCCAAGTAACTTAAATGACAGGATGTTTCCTCCCTATTTTATGTGATTCTAATTGATTATATATTTTGCCAATAAGGTAATTAAAAAGACAAAAATCACAGTTATTCCAGAGTAAGAAGCTGTCCTAGAGCTTTACATCACCCTGGTTTGAGGTGCTGGAGAAGTCAATGATATAACTAAGAAGGTCCTGCAGTCTTCATAAACATTCCAAGGTTATTTTCCCCAGACTGGTGGTTTTTTTTCCCTTGCCTTTCCACTCCAAGCCCTGTACTTGCCCATACATACCACAGGGAAAATGGAACCCTCACAGATGGTTTCTGCTGTGCTCCCAGCAATCTGTTAGCTGGACAAAGGATACTGAGGGTGGCTCTAATTTACTCTTGCCCTTTTATCCAGTGTAAAGGAGCAAAAGGGCTGAAACTCTCACCTTTTCTCTCTTTGGTAAGGATAATCTATTCAGAGCTCTCAGAACAGAAGCATCTAGTACTGCAAGTGTGTTGTACGAGGGAAAGCGTGTTACCTCTTGCATTGCTGGAAAGTCAAAACACATTTAAGTCAAAGACAACCAAGTTTTGAGCCCCCACTGCAGTCTCCATCTTGGAAGGGGAACTGCCTTAAGAGGTAGTATTAAAGACTGCCCAGTAAGGGATTTATGGAGATCATTGTTGTACACAGGGTATATCTTTTAAAAGGGCTTCTTAAATTGCTAGGAAGAGTCTTAGAATACCAGGAATATGCATATACACACATGTCTCTAATAACACTAATTCCTCTGGTCCTTTTTACCCAACAGGATTTATCTTGTAGGCTGTGAAATAGACCTAGCAAGCAGAGGAGTCTTCTGGCTCAATAACAGCAATAAAAGTTAGATATCCTAATGCTTCCATTTCATTAGGAAGCTATCTGTCTCCTGGTTGTGGCTGGTTATGACCCAGGAAAAGTGGATATAAGGCTTGACACAGTATAGAAAACATAAGCTATATATTAATGATCACAGGCTGTTTCTCTCACAAGGACAAGTCTCTCAGTTCCAGTTGTACATTGTTTGACTTGGCAGTAGTAGGAAAGTGAATAGATTATTCAGTTGCTGTAATCTGTAAAAAGCATCAACAATTTTAACCTGCATTTTTCCGTTCAGTCATACTCTCATCTCAGTTAAAGCTGCTTGTTTGATTTTTTCCTTCACTCTGACCATCCTTTAAAGCACTTGCGATGAAGTCAGGTAGATAAGCAAAATATGGTATGGCCTGTGTACACTCTAACAGCCTTAGCATACATCAGTAAAGGGAACAGATTAATTCCCCATTCAACCTAAACTCATTTTTGCCCTCAAGTGCCATATGCATATGGCAGACTAAGGACTAGGAGGGTCTAGTGACATTATTGTACAGCTATGGTTTGGGGTAGCATTTAGACCAGCCACAGCAGATAATTAGACAGATAAAGGTTTTGATTTAGGTGTTTGTGTGTTGTGTGCACAGTCTATCAGCCCATCTAACTCTGTCTCCCTGGTATCATTTTGGTGAGGGGGGTGATAAGTGCAGTGTTTCTCCTTGAGTTCTAGGTTGAGAACCATATCTTAATAGGACATTAAAGCTTTCCCTGCAAAGCCTAGCTACTTCTTCCACATATAGAAGCTATATTAATGTTCAGTCATATTGCTCAAGAAGAAAACAATACATCTAGCTAATCCCACGTATTCACTTTGCTTTATACCTTGCTTCCCATTTATTATACATTTCTCTTGCTTTGCAATAAATTGATTCTTTTTTTTTTTCTTTTCAGTTTTTCTGATTCCAAACCTCTCACTAAGCTTGATTTGCTGCTTCTGTTGGGCCACCTAAACTGTGCCATGTGTATTATACCTCAGGGTAGATCATTAATTCTTACCTCTTTGATTTAGCTGCCCTCTCAGTCAGATTCCTGGATCATTTTATCTCCCTCAATTTTTTTTCTGCCTAGTTTGAAACTCAGCTTTGGTTCTGCCTCCTTAAACATTAGAAAAAAGTACATTTCTTTTTCTTTGACCTCATTTTCTCACCTGACAACACTCGGCTTTTTTACTGATGTCTCTCCAAATCATGTTTTTTTTTCCATTTAGTACTAAGGTTAGCATTTCCGTGTTTCAGCAAAAGCAGGTATTTGCGTTCCTATGATGTTCAGAGTCATCCTATGTGTCTGCCTGTGCAATTCTGAGTTCAGTGCCAAAACAATTTGGGAATTTGTATTAAAGCTAGAAAGCCTTTCTGCTATCTTGATAGCTTAGCTGTATTTGCTGTCACAGTATTAATACAAGCCAGTTGTTTCTGCATTCCTCAATACATTTCTGTGTAATCTCTTGTGCTCTGTATCATTGTTGGTCACTGATTTCTAATCAAACATTTTCATATGCAATGATACATTCATCAAATAGCTGCTAACATTTCTGTTACTATGCAAAAAATCAGGCTAAGCTTTCTAAGTAACTTTCAGAATAAATCTGCAGTTGAATCATTTTCATATTTAATTAAAAACGAACCTTCTTCAGATTTTACTCATTTAGTCCAAGTTCACATTCATACCCTCCTCAGAGTCATGTCCAACACTTCACAACATTAGCAGTCCTTTCAGCAAAGTTAAGGTAATGTATCTTTCTTTTATCAAATACTGCCACCAAAGCTTAATTGTTAATGCTCTTCATCTTAGATGGTCCACATTTGCTTGTTTCAGTAGTTTTAGCTCCGTGTAGTGCTCAATACACCACCACATCCACTGCAGATTCATCAAAAAACCCATCTGATTTAACAAAAGTGGAAGCCGGCTTGGCAGCCCTGGAAATCAAAGTACACTAATGTATTTACAGAAGCTGAACATGAAGCTGTACAATCTTTGACCATATTTAGCTGTGTAATGTGTATAACTTTTTATTCTGGAAGCCCTCTTTTGCAGGTCAGTCCTCCAGTGCCAGTACCCATTTAGTCCTTTTCAGTCCAGAGAGAAGATCATGTGCCAGCTATGGTTATGATTTTGTTTCATTTTGTATATAGCTATTCATCTTCAACCCTTATCAATGCAACATCAAACTGTATCAATCTTCAGTTACTACTAAAGGGAGCCACCACAATACTGACCTCTTCCATCTTTACAACCACAATCTGCTTTTAAAATTAATATATAGAACAGAATCACTTTTCTCTTATAAAAACCCACAACTTTATCTACTACATAGCTTAAGAGCTAATTTTCACTGAAGCACTTTGCAACCCTCCTCACTATGCACTGTAGAAATTAGTGCCTGGGAAGATTTTGTTCTCCTTTAAGAGTTTGTCTTCTGAGTATGGCTTCAGCGCACAGACAAAACAGACTGTGATAAGGAACCAGAGGTGATAAATGCAAAAGGGTTTAATAGAACAGCAAATATATCAAATTGCCATTTGATCTAACCAGAGCCAAAGAGGAGCAGTCCAAAAGCTTCATAATAAAGGCTTTTAGGGAGAGTGGCACAGGAAGATGAAATGTCATTTAGTTGTTTTGTCTGGATGAGACCATATTTGCCAGAGCAGGCAATGGGCAGGTTACCATGAATGCTGCGACCAGTACAGAGCAGGCAGAAGTTACTAGGTTTTGGCACATGTGGTGTGACAGATGGAGTGACACCATCCTCCAGCCCCTGGTAGGGTACTTTTCCTGTTCTGCCTCCCTTTCTGTCCCCGACACTTCTTCCTGGGTGTGCTTGGCCATACTGTGATCACCACTGCTCAGAACCTCAGCTGAACAGGCATTCTGGCTCATGGGAGAACACTCCCTGTATTATCTTGAGCTTTGCATTACTGTAATGCACTAAGAGTTTTTATTTTATTTGTTTTGGCTGGAGAGTGGGTGTGGATTAACAGTGCATAATACTGATTTACTTCAAGGCTGTTGTGTGATCTTCAGCTTTACAATCCAACTATTGATAGGAATTTACCAAAGGCCTTGCACCCCCTGCAGCTGGGACTAAATTTTCAGAAGATTTCTTCTCCCTTGTAAGCACCTAAATAAATGTTAAGATTTTCCCAGAGCTCTACATGTTCAGTGCTGTGTGGACTGGCACTGTGAGATTGGGTCTTGAAAGAGTTCTGTGAAGTGGGGATTGTGCTACTTACTATTTATGGTGCTTTTTAAAATGAGACTTAAAATCATTCCCAGTATTTTCAGTCATTAGAGATCATAAGGAGCTATATGCCACATAAATAATTACATCTCTTCCTGCCCCTCTTTCTCTGCAACTCTCTGTACAGAAGATAGTTCTTTCCTAACAGAGACTGGCTCACTCATCTGTGACGCTGAATCCCTGCAATTCATAAAGAGCTCACCAGAGGTAGTGGGGAAGACTGGATCTATAACACAGCTGGCAGAGGTGCTTGAAGCAGTGGCTTCATTTCCACAACTGGTGCTTTACTTTGGGATCCATGCTAGTAAAGGATGCCGAGTCTGTATAGGTTATTATTTTTGCCATTATGTCAGTCATATTGTTCAAATACATTCAAAGAAATTAGTTTTTCTAAAATTTGAACCAATTCCTGAATTAGATAAATTATTAAGTAGTCTGCATTCAAACTTTTTACAGTTTTGCCTGGTTCATAGTTTGAAGGAAGAATTTCACAATGTAGGAATGCCACAATAATGTTACATTTAATGGTGATATTTCACTGCCTCCAAAACTTTTCACATTATCTCATTTCTTGTAGTCATTCCCATTTCTTGTAGCCATTCCCATGTCATGTTTTTATCTGCCAAGATGACATGTTCAAAAGCTTTAGCAAAGCTTGTATGGAGAACTTGTATGAAAAATTGGATGTTGAATAGCACTTCCCAAATGTGAAAGAGATATAGTGGAGTGTTTTAGAGGCCAATTAATTATGGGATAATTCCTGAAAATTGTGTCAGTAATTAATGAGTGAGTAATATGCAGTATTTAGAAGTGAACAGCAGTGAGCAAACATTATGCATCACTTTGTGTCTGTAATACAAGAAACAATCCTGTAGCCATTTATTGATTATGAGTATTAACAGATTCCTGTAGTTAATGACATGTCTAGTGCTTATATCATCAAGTTCTAATCTAAAGTGTGACTACATTTTAAAAATAGTACTTTCTTTCTTGCATGCATGCACAGGAGAGAGAAACAAGTCTCTGTAAGAATTTGCTTGGGTTGAGAAACCAGCTGTGATTAATTCAGAGACAGTGGCAGAATCACACTGGCTCAGAGAAATAAATTAAGCACATCAGGAACAATGCATGATATAACAGGAGGGCTCAGGTGGCTTTCCTTTTATTTTCTGTGGTGCAGTCCTGCCTGCACCCTTTCTTGTAGCCCCTATGAGGTACCCTTTAGGCTTTGTCTAGCAGCTCATACATAGGCCTGAGAACAGAAAGAGTGAGACCTGTTCCCTTAGTTTACAGTGAGAAAGGTTGGCTTCCCTGGCTTCTGCACACATCTCTGATCTGGCTCTGCTCTGAAAAGAACTCTGCAATTTGTGTACTGCCAATGAAAATTTTTTCTAGCTTGTTCAATCAAACCTACCAGCCAACATCACTGACCTGCAAGGCCTATTTTAGTATATCTCCATCAGCTCCTTCTTGTTTCAGATCATCAGGGAAGACCTTCAGGGAAGGGATCATTTCTTTCTCTATGTTTGTATGGCACTTAGGACAGGAGACAACCAGTATTAATTTGCAAGTCTTTGAAATAAGTTTACTCCATCTGAAAAAGAAAAAAAAAAAAAAGGTGGTGATGAAAACAAAAAGAACAGAGACATGATGACTAAAGCCCAAAGAAATTTGGAGAACTGGACAAGGAAAAGCATTTTAACTTTTAAATGGAAGAAAGCTTATTGTTTACATCATTAGCAACATACAGAAAAACTCCTGGAGAACATTTTTACATAAAGTGTCACTAAGCTTTAAAACTCAAGGTTGTTTTATCATTGCCTTTGAAAGATCCCAAAGAGATTCAGCTTATTGAAATGCATTAAGACTGGTGACTTTCCATTAACTGCTTCAATAGGATGAAAAAGTAACAGAAAAAAAGGAAGCCTTTTGTGAGGAAGTTTACACCTTATCAACACAGGCTGGGAGATGAACAGACCCAGAGCAGCCCTGCCGAGAAGGACTTGGGGTGCTGGTGGTGACAGGACGGACATGGCCCAGCAATGGAGTCATGACTCACAGCCCAGGGAGCCAAACCTGTCCTGGGCTGCATCCAGAGCAGCGTGGGCAGCAGGGACAGGGAGGGGATTCTGCCCCTCTGCTCTGCTCTGCTCTGCTCTGCTCTGCTCTGCTCTGCTGAGACCCCACCTGCAGGGCTGCATCAGCTCCAGGGTGCCCAGCACAGGAAGGACATGAACCTGCTGGAGGGAGTCCAGAGGAGGTCACCTCTCCTACAAGGAAGGGCTGAGACAATTGTGTCTTGTCGTAGTCCAGGACATCCCTCTGACTACCCTGGCTGTCTCAAGACTCTGGCAGGGGGCTTGGAGACCTTGGCAAGAAGTCAAAACCAGCTGTGGCTTCGATTTTAGCCTGTGGAAAACTGCCAACTCTGGATGAGGAATTACAAGCCACAAGGGTTTTAGTAGTGTGATATTTAAACTAACACAAGGTGGAAAAGTATAATTTTGGGATTTTTAGAATGGGGTTCAAGAGGGCACAGGATGGAAGAATTTGGGCATGTCCTAACCTTCGTGTCTTGTCCTCCATGTCTTAGTGTAATGGTAGAACTTTTCTATTGGTTCAAAGTAGAGATTCACTATCTAACATAGATTATGGTAATTGGTAAAGAAATTGTAAACATAGACACATAATTTTGAGTATATAAGGTAGGAGCCACTGAAACTCGAGGGCAGATCACCATGACTTCCTTGCTAACCAAAACTCGGCAGGTCAAAGAAAGAATGTTATAGATAAGAAGAAATAACCTTGAAAGCACAATCAGAAGCATTCCAGGCTCCTTCTTTGGTTGCATTGGGCTAGGGAAGCAAAGACTTTTTACAGTCTCTTGGGGTCACCCTGACCATCTGAACCCCAAGAGAAATCTACAGTGTCTGTTCAGCCTAGAGAAGAGAAGGCTACAGGGAGGCCTCGTTGTGGCCTCCCAATACCCACAAGAATTAAGGAGTCTACAAGAAAGATGGGGAGACACTATTTACAGGGGCATGTAGTGACAGGACAAGAGGGAATTCTCCAGCTGAAAGACAGCAGGTTTAGATTAGATAGCAGGAAGAAATTCCTTACTATGAGGGTGGCAAGGCACTAGAAAAGATTGCTTGAAGAAGCTGTGGATGCCCCATCCCTGGAAGTGCTCAAGGCCAGGTTGGATGGGGATGTAGTATTGGAACTACATGATCTTTCAAGTTCCTTCCAACCCAAATCATTCAATCATTCAGTGAGAAATTTTGGTTCTGACTTCCATTATTTCTTAGATCCCCCTTTTTCAACTTAAGAGGATCAGAATTTGGCTAACAGTACTGAGGACTTCTCTAACATGTCCTGAAATTTCTGTCCTGTCCAGAAAGCCATCTTACTACAAAATTACTTTTAGACTTGAATGACTGACTCTTGAAGGTGCTCAATTCACAGCAGCCTTCCAGGCAACAAGCTCTCATCCCTAGGGTATCCCCTGTGTTTTGCTCTTGCTTCATGGCTACAGTTTAATGGCCTTGGAACTGGACAGGCAGCGCTTGGCACCCCACTCCACACAGCAAAGGGCCCAGTTATCAGCTACGAAGGAACTGCAAGAGTTCCCCTTAAGTCAAATATGTAGGTGCCTGCCACTCTGGATGGGTAATTTTATGTAACTAAGACTAGTTAGTTGGACTGTTTAAGACACATTAATCATGTGTGTTTGCACATCATTCAAAGAAAACTACGTGATTCATGCAGCATTGTCAAAATATTTACAAGATGACTGCTAATGAATTTAAGTTCCCATGTGGTTTTTTTTCTTAAGCATATTAATAATATTTGGCAGGAGACGTCAGTATGAACCCAAAAGAAGGCTCATCTTTCCTCACAATTCATTCTTGAATAACAGAAGCTTCAAATATGAATTATTGACAGGTTGAGATTAATCTGTCACAACAGCATTAAGAATTTATTGCTGATTGCTGTTAAAAAAAAAAAAAGAAGCCACTTTTAGATGCCTAATCACTTATTTTGTCAAAGAAGAAGAAAAAAGACAAATGTTGCATGTGTGTAAAAACAACCATGGGACTGAATTTCTTTTTCCTAATTTTATTAAGGGAAGGAGGGGGTTAAACTGCCATCCACTAAAAGCAGCGATTTTATGCTGAGGTCTCCAAATCAGCAAATTTACATTTCGTAAGAACACCCTGAGGGGCTTTCAGTTATTTTGCTTAAAAGGCAGACAGGTACATTTACAGCAGCATACGCAGAGCTCCATGTGCTAGCCTGGACACAGATTGGCTTTCTGGACCATGTGTGCTTGGGGTGACTTAGTTCCAAGCAGGTAATGCACCAGGACACTTTTATGTTTTGGCTGGGAATACAGATCAGTAAAGAATGTGACTGTAATTACCAGTAACAAGGGTATAAATTTCTGATCCCTGCTTTGTTGGCTGAAGTTTGCTAGTGTTTCTAAGCATTTACATTTTACAATTGCCTTATTTATAGCCTGGAATTTGGTGCACTAGTTTTTCATGCATGTGAAATGCTTTTTATTGCATATGGAAGGAAACTACCATCTTCATAAGCTAACTGCTTGTAAAAATATTACAGCCAATTTAGTTTAAAATATTTTAATGATTTAATAATAGATTATTGGAAATTTTTAGTTGGATGGAACACACCAATTCTATTTATTCCTTTCTTAAATTTCAAATAAATAAAAACCCTGTATCATTTTGTTGAAATTAACACAATTACTACAAATAAATGATTTATAAATAAAAACCAGTATCTCCCATATTATTACTACAAATAAGGCTATATCTGCAATGTGAAGTTATAGTAATATGTGACATTAGTTCACCTGTAGCTTAAAGTACACAATATGCAAGACTGCAGTTTTCATTTCTATTCCAAAACCATTCAAGCAACTTACCTGCGCAAATAATTCCATCCACTTCTTCATGTGGATCAGATCAACTGGGTTTGGGGCCAGGCTGCCATTCACAACAGGACATTTGAAAGAGTGCCTTTTTTGATGGGTCAGCTTTTCAAGAGTAGACATTTGGAAGATCTGCATGTTACTGGGCATGGACAACAAAACACAGAACAAAGATCTCCTACAAGTATTGTGAATTAGTACCTGAATATTATATGTCTCCCCTGCACCTGGAAAAGTATGTGGGATTTACTGTCCTTAATGTCCATTTTTTTCAGCACCCATCATACTTGCATCACAGTCTGGGACTAGGCTGCACAGTCACTTGATAATAATACATTTCAAATCTGTGCCCTTCTGCAGTTAGAGCAGTGCCTGTCTTCAATAATATCTTACATTTTAAGACTAGATCAAGTTGACTAAACTAAATGCTTTAGGGGGTCACCTTGTGTTATCAGTCAAGTCCTAAATCAAATTATGCAATTAATATGAACATTTGGTGTGGACTTGGCTTTCCTCCACAATGAATGAGGATCGTTGTAGAATCCTGTTTTCTGAGCCAGAAGATAAAATTTCCAGGCCTTATTTCAGTTTTAGCTCTTGATTTCAGTAGAGCTGCACCACATTTATAAGCATATCAGGGAGAGCAGAGATTTCCTCTTCATATTTTTCTTTGAAAACAACTTCAGTGGAAATGTCTAAAGGTGAGTCTTTGATTCTGTGTTTAAGTGGTTTATGGTGAACATGTCAGTGATACACCATTCTCTTGGAAATGCTTCCTGTGGGATAGGTTGTGGTTGGTCATGAAGCGAGGAAGAAGAAGAAAAAGATGAGATCATAGCTCTTGTATGAGCTGTACCCGGACTAGTCTCTTAAAAGAGCAGGGTCCATGATTAGCCTGCTTGCCTCTTCCCACCTGCTTCAAACAATAAATAACATGAAATTAAGCAAGAAGGCTACAGTCCTGCTTCCCTCCAATTTGATACATAATTGATTGAGAATGCAAGAGGGTGCTCTTGACCTGAAAATACGGCTGAAAGCACAACTGCGCATTGTTCATGCCAACACTATTTTCATTAGCATACTACACAACTCAGACATAGCAGCAACCAGAACCTGACTTCAATCCTCTCCTGTCTTCAAAGTGAAGCTAACTTTTGGCTTGTACTAGAAAGACCACAATAGCAGCTACTCCTCGTAGAAGAGCCTGCACCATATTCAAGAGATTATATGAGCACAGATGAAGACTGGTTGGTAGACAGGATTTCCCCTTCTGCTCACCCAAACACATAAAACCTTCCCGCTGATTGATAGTAAGGCCTGCATATCAACCACACATGACTAGTCTAACATCTACTGGACTACAGCCTGTTTCATGGTGGGTTTACCTGATGGAAAATGTACTTGATAAGAAAACAGGAATATAACAGATTTATTTCAGGGACAGGATGGAAAGCTCAGTTTCAGAGCTGACTTTTACTTCAGCTTTGAAAGAAAACCTTTTTAAAAGTGGAAAAGTTAATAGGGATGTTTGGACCCACATCCACCACAGGAGTAATAACAAGGTGACCAACTTGCTTAGAAGTGGAAAAGTTGAGTTTAAATTTTAGTCCTGCTTTATCCCTACAGGAACTCTGGCCTCT